CCACCTCACTGAGAGTGTTCTCGAGAGTTGCAAAGATCATCACCCCTCACCTTCGAAAGTGGGATGTCATGCTGTTCCAGTACCTGGACGACTGGCTGATTGTCCGCAGATCGTTCAACAAAGCAGAGGTTTCTACCCGTCTTACTTGTGACATCACAAATCGACTGGGCCTCATCATCAACCATGGGAAGTCGAATCTCACCCCAAGGCAATACTCGACGAGGTAGGGGCATCTATTAACCTTCAACAAGGTATAATCTCACTGACGACCGAACGCATCAACAACCTTCTCGACTGGCGTGAAAGTCTTCTCTACTGAGCAGTCTGCTCCAGCCTGCACCTGGCTCCGTTTCCTAGGCTTGATGGCCAGCATGGTGGATCTCATTCCCCTCTGTAGGCTGTACATGCACCCACTACAACTTCATCTCTTAGCACCTTACAGGCCAAATGGACCATATCAGACTTCCACTGCCCCCATCTACAGTGGTGGTTAGTGAAGGAGCACCTCTCTTTCGGAGTTCCCTTCCCCAAGGTGAACCTGAAATTAACTATAACCTTGGACGCTTTTTATCTGGCCTGGGGAGCCTCCCTACCGCCGCTTCAAGCATTGGGAACGTGAGACCTCCAGCTCCAAGGGAGTCACATCAATTAACTGGAACTTCAGGCCGTATTCAATGCACTGAAGGCTTTCCGCCCAAGCATCATAGGCAAATGTGTCCTCATCTGCTCGGACAACTCTACAGTGGTGTCATACATCAATCGCCAGGGACGCACACATTCTCCCTGTTTATGCCTCCTCACGAGACAGATATTGGGCCCGGAATTAAGGCATCAACCTCCTGGCGACTCACATTCCTGGTGTCGACAACTCCACACCAGATGCTCTCTCTCAGGGAAAGGTACATCCCACAGAGTGGACTCTGCACACCAGTGCACAGACCTTCGCCGAAGTAGAAAAACCGAACATCGCTCTTTTCGCCTCGGCGAAGAATGCCCAACTTGCACCAGATTTTACCACCTGCAAGCCTTGGCAATGAATGCTCTTCAAATCAGTTGGGAAGGGATGTTGGCCTGCGCTTTCCTTTCATTACCCTAATTCCGGCAGTTCTCTCCAAGATCGAAAGGGAATGCTGCCTTGTCTTCTCGTCACCCCCTTCTGGCCACGCCAGCTGTGGTTCCTTTGTCTGACCAGACTTCTTGTCCGGATACCGGTGATCCTTCCCGACAGACCGGATCTGCTTTATCAACTGAAGTCAGTCGTGCTTCACCCTCATCCAACGTCACTACACCTAACCTGTTGGCTATTGTCAAACAGTCCCTCAGATCAGCATGACTTTCTGATGGAGCTGCCGAAATGGCCACAAAGAGTTGACACCAGTCTACACACAGCATCTATGACTCCAGATTATGACATTTTACTTTGTGGTGTTGAGAGCGAGGTCTTTCTCTGACCGAAGTTTCTGTGACCTCTATAGCTTACTTCCTCATGCACCTGTACAAATCAGATCTTCAGGTTTCAACTATCCGTAACTACCGGTCAGCCATTGAGGCTATATACGATGGCTTCCCAGATGGTTCGACTGTGTCCGACAATACTGCTCTTAAACAGCTACTCTGAGGGATGTTTCTCGAGTATCCCCCAACTAAGAGACTAATTCCGTCATGAGACTTGTCAGCTGTCCTCCAACTGCTTGCTGGTCCTCCCTTTAAGCCTCTCAGCGACGCATCGTTGATCAACCTATTGGTGAAACTGGCATTCCTGCTGACAGTTACTACCTCATGGCGCAGCAGTGAACTGAAGGCATTGTCCACCACAGATGGCCACATCCGATAGGAACCCCATGGTGTCCATCTCATCCCAATGCTTGGGTTTCTCACCAAGAACCAGTCAGTTTCCTTCCATCCTCCTGGCATTTTTTTACCAGACATTACCAAAGACACTGGCAATGGTGCCCAGTGCAGACTCTTAAATGGTACTTCGCCAAAACCAGAAAACTCAGGGGTACAACTTAGCAGCTTTTCATCACCAAAATAAAACCTCACCGAGCTGCGACCAGAGACACTATAGCCAGATGGGCAGTTTCATCTATCAAGTTTGCCAATCCAGATTGGCCGAACTCTGTGGACAATAAAAACACTACGCCTCATCAGGGCTCATGATATCCGAGCGGTTTCCACATCATGGGTCTACTTCAGGGGCGTATCGATGGACAAAATATTCAAGGCAGCATGCTTGAAGACCCCATCTACTTTCACAACATGCTACCTCACCGTGGTTTTAATACCGGAAAAGGACGAACATGGCGGCCACTTCGCTATGTGTCATGGGACTAGAAGGCGCAATACAGGTGATCAGAAGTTTTAGCAAATTGAATCAGATGCAAAGGAATTTGCATATTTAGCCAACTGTTTGGGGTAGGTATTCAGTAGCAGACCTCTCCCACATTTCTGTGGGGGAGGATTACCCCTATTGTTGAGACAACAAAGGCATACCGGAGCCTTGCTCGTTAGAACTTCGTAATGCCTGAGTGCCCACTCCCTGAAGTCTGCAGATTTCTGCCGTCCTTGACAACGGCAGACTGCACAGGAAAACTGCAGACAAGCTGTGACAGAACGCGAGGTCATTTTGGGAAAGGCGCCTTAGGCAGGGGATTCCCCTGCCCATTCAAGTGTGAGGCGGCCCATTTCACTGATTTTAGTGACCACTTCAGACTTTTCTGTTGAATTTTACTACCTCACAGTTAAAATAGACAAAGATGGAAAGAAAAAGCAAAATAACTTAGATATTTTGAAATAGATCAGTTTAAATTGTTCAGAATGGTAAAAGTGGACACAGAATACAAGATCCATTTATTTTAGAGGGGAAATTTGGAGTAACCCTACTATTAGACTATGTAGAATTTATTGGAGGCCTTTTTGATAATACTCGCATTTTTTTTACCACCTCACGGATATCAGTACCCCAGGGGAGACCCTGACATCTATAATGTGGCACAGTTCTACTCCCTTATGTAGAACATTATCTGGCTGCCTGTGTTCTACAACACAGTCAGTCTGGATGTTGAAGTCCTAAGGAATCTTTACCTCGTCCGTTTCCAAAACCTTTAGAACACGCTCCCACCACTTGTCCTTGACCTCCATCCCATGCTTCCGATACACATCAAAGTGGATCACCTTGACTAATTTACCATGGCTCCCCTTATATCCAGTCTGGGCCATCTTGCTGCATTTGCAAACCAAATGGAACAGTCTCTTCTTTATCCCCACACATCCCGCACATGGGAGATACGTCTGCGTCCTCTATCCAGCCTTCATGACGTTCATCCTTAGTGCCTGATCCTCTGCCACAGTTATGAAACCGTCTGTTTCCTTCTTTAAGTCACCTCCCTTCAACCGTTCCCAGGTCTTGTACCCTGCCAGTTCTTCCATGTCCCTCAGAAATTTGCCCTGTAGTAGACTTGAATCAAGTTGGACGTCAGTAATACCGGTATGTAGTTATTCATAATTGCATATGAACAACATGATCTTGCAAAATGTTCACAGAATTTCTACCAATGAAAGTAATTAGACCTGTAGACTCGTTCATTGTGATGCAGGTTGAACGACATAAAAACGAGTCTGGCAGTGTGATTGGCTACCACTTTTGGTAGATGAGCCCATTCACTGTGTACAGACAGTTGGCAGATTCATCAATTTGGGATTTCTGAACTGAACTCATAGTAATAAGTGGACACAAGAGTGTGCGAAGCAAGTAAATTCGCGCAGTCTTGATATATATCCAAACCATAAATGAAGACTTCACGGGGATCCCGACTTGAGTCAAGTCTACCCATGGAGGGGCTTCCCTTCCCAATCTCTAAACCTTTCCTCCTTCCTTTCCTTCTTCCGTGCACCAGCGGCCACTTGCTTTCCACGACACATTTCTTAGCCATTCTCAGCAATCCATCCTGCGCCCGAGAAAAATACCTATGAAGACCCCTCTTCTCAACATGTACACAGTGCCTGTCCCCCTTCAATCCTTGGCATGTACAGCCTTCTGACATTAGCCGTTGGATGCAGCATACCTTGCCTTGTCATCAGTTTCCTCGTCTTTCGGTCAACAGACTCCAATTCCACCTTGGTCCAGTCAACAATCCCAATATTGTACCTCATCAGTGACACAGCTTAGGTATCAATCGCCTTCACTATATTGTCCCCATTCAGCTTCGACTTAAACACTTCTTTATCCTCCTTATGTACTCTTTGATTAGCCTTCTTTCACTTCATCATGCATCATGCTGTCCGCCTCCAATGTACCAAGATACTTGTATCCTTCATTCTCCACCAATGACTTCAGCAGCAACCCATCAGGCAGCAGAATGCCATTGGAATCAACCATCTTCCCCTTCTCAATGTCAGTACTGTGCACTCCGAACTGCATTCCTATATCCCCACTGTACTCCCAAACCACCATCTTCTTCTGATACTAACCTCATCAGCCCGACTTTCATTCTTAGCCATCAATGTCATCCTCCAGGTCTTCATACTGTTTGTCAAGCAATTGCTTTACCCCTTCAGTAGCCCCCACTAAATTCAAACACCCCATAATCCATGAATGCAGCACCATATTGCTTATGATGGGTCTTCAGGTACAGTATGCATGCAGTCTTTAACAATTTTAACTGGCACTGGAGCTGAAATTCACTGATACATGTATACCTGCTGACTTCAGCAAGGCTTACCAGTACAGTGGGCTGTGAACTGAATTTAGAATATTTTTTCATTTGATTAACCAATGGGAAAGTTGACAGGCTGTCTACATTGGACTTTTTTTTTGGTTGACAAAAGTTCAGTGCCAATGTAGCTTTCATGTATAATATTGTACTGTAGTCTCTAAGAAATTTTAAAAAAAGTTGGAAAGCCTAATACCGGTATTTCAGTCCCAGCAGAATCTTTGATTCCAAGAAATTTTGGAAAGTTTCTCTCAGGAATCCCTTTTGGTGTTACTTTGTAACCTGCAGGTTCTTTACAACCAGTTCCGGCTATTTCTCAACCTGTACTTCCTTATAATGGCCATGTCTCAGTTCATCCCTTCTCTGCGAATAGGCTACCTGTACACCTACTGGGCCCCTCTGGTAAGTTTCACCTATAGTTATCTTTAAAACGGATGTTTATATTTATGATAAGGAATAGACTTAGATACACCGTGGTACATACATGTATACCTGGTTGTTGATGTCAACACACATTTCTTTTTTGGGGGAGGGGGTGTTGAGGGAGAGATTGTGAAATAAGAAGAGAATAAATCACTGAAGTGTTTTGTTTGCTTTGCATTTGAGTATATATTAAAACAAACTTGAAAACAATTACCACTTCTGAACCCTTCTCAGTCATGGCCAGCTCATGTGATGGAAAGGGCTCACTGTTGGTTACACAAGGTACTGTGATTATGCACAGTATTTTGTGGTCAAGTTACATGTACCAAGTCAAATATAGCCAGTTACTTTTACAGGTTAACTACATGTATTTTGTGTTAACAGTACAAGCGTTCACAATATAGTGCTCCAAGAGTTTGCAATGCGTCCGCCAATCACAATACACATTTGAAAAGGGTTGACCCAATTTCATGCGTTGTGATTGGCCAATGCGTTGCAAATATCTTGGAGGTGCACTATTGTGAATTGCCCATGTTGGTTGCATACATGGACATGACAATTTTGTGCTACTTTTTTTAATCAGCACTGTATACATTGTATTTGCAATAATCCTATGGGAAAAAGAAATACCTTATTTATGTATTTCTTTTGGCCCAGAGAAGTTGAGAGAACATGGAAACTGATTTGAGATATGCTTTGGCCCTTCCTCACCCAGCGTTTATTGCAGCCACAGCTTGACAATCCAATTTTTCATGACTGTACTGTATGTGTAGGTTTACAGTACTTCTAGTGGAGGGTCAAGATCGCCGTTGTGTAACGCGGTTAACCTTAAATAGCAGTGGCGTGTGAACGGTGATGATAAGTGGTAAACAAAAGAACTTGTGTGTTTTTGTTATCAGAATGAAATGATGACAATTTAACATAAAACTGAACATCATTAAACCGTAAATACTGTCACTTGTGTATCATTTTTTCATGCACTGATGTCGGTTTACATGTTACTGATATTTGCTGGACATACATGTAGGGCTAATTGAGGAAATGTCCTATACCGTACTCTGCGCCAGTGAAGATTTTTTTTAAAGAAAAGAATGTCAATGCGGGCCATGCGTGGATAGCGCGAAAATCACTGCAACCTACGTGTGAAAACGTAGCTTCTAAAAATTTGTATTTTGGGGGCCCGCGTGATTCACACAGGAGTCCAGATAATTTCGAAAGATACTGGACGGTACGACAAGTTGCCTGTACACGTGCCCCACCACTGTGTCCCAAGGTGGGGGAGGGACACTGGGAGACCTCAGTCAGTAAGGCAATCAAACAAACTAATTTGTCTCTTTTATTTTACAATTCCGAAATGTCCCAAGTTCAACACTTTCACATGCAATTAAATATGTCTCGTTAAATATATAAGGATTTCAAATACACCATGCTCTAGTTTGACATACAGTTGCTACACGTAGTCAAAAGAAAAGCCTGAACTTCCCTGTGTGTGCATAATTACATAATCAGGGGATTATATTCAGGGAGGGTTCATGGAAAATTCGCAGGTACATAGTATAATTATTCATTGCACACGTAAACAGTTGGAAAGAATGTTTTCTGTATAAGTTTACATTTACAATTACATGGTTTAATTATCAATCAAAGAAGGGATGAACTTATTGAAATAACATTCGATCATCCTTGCAATGTTTTGTGTCCAGCTGTCATCCTTGTAGATTTTGATTATCTCCATATCATGTGGTTTCCACACAACTTGGTCACAACAACTGCTTCCAGTGAGGTGTAGCTGGCCTTGGATTTGATGCCAATAGTCGTGCTGTTTTTAAGTTATAACTTACCATTGCCAACAGCTGGGAGAAACAAAAAGGGAAATAATCAATTGTTTTGGCACCAAAGGGAAACACCTGTTTAATAACAAATGCGTTTAGGGTTAATTATTAGCTTGTACCCATTACCAAGAAAAACGTTTTTGTCTGTAGTCGCTGTCTTCAATACTGGCTCATCTCGGCTAGCAAATGGGCACTTGATCTCTAGCAGCTGAGGCTTGACATCATGTGGTGTGCCCATCAGGTGGACTGCACATGACGGTGACTTGGTGACTATACCATCAGGTGATGCCGCCAGCACCCCACACTCATGAAGCCAAGTTCCTGAAAAATGCAAGAATCAAAAGTATTGGTATATGATTATAATTCTAGTGGAATGCAAAAGGTAAATCCTTCAGCACATTTTGGCAAGAGATCATGAACTCACCAGTTTGCTTAACTTCAGCTCCAAACTGACAATACTGTTGACGTGCAACATCTTTGTGCATTATACTCCGCTGAATGGTGAGAACTTTATCCAAGTTATAACAACTAAGCAGACGCTTCTTCAGTGAAGGCAAAATTCTGAAAAGAAACATTTGAAAATGGTTGAAACATCTCAGACAAAGCAGCCAATCTGGTCTTAATTTATTCTCTTGCAAGAATTGTAAAAAGGGCTCAAGGAGCTAGCCCATTGACAAAGAGAAAAATCCAGTGATTTAAGCCTTTCAATTTTTATGTCTTCAATTTGTAATACAAGCGATACTTCTGTTTCAAAGTGACACCAGTACAAACTTAAAATACCACTTGCAAGGCTCTTCACCTGTTACATGAAGCAGCACCCAGTACCTGTCCAAAGTTGGATGCAGTGGACTTGTACTTCCGTGAGGCTGCCCACAGACTGTTTTCCCTCTGCCCCACAGTCAGAGAGGCTGCCTCAGCTATTTTTTCAAGATTCAAAATGAGTGCCTTCTTTAGCTAAGTTGTGGAATGCTCAGCATGTGCATAGTCCTTGCTAAGGATGAGATCCTCTATCAGCGGCACTGGGAAGTGCATAGCCACATGTGGCTCTGGAGCTAAAATCCAGTGGAAGGCTAAACAAGATCAAATGAATTACGGAATCAAACTGACTGACATCTTAAACCTGAACATTTTGTTGTATTCAGTTACAACATTTAAATTGAAATGAAGGTTGAAAACTGTCCTAAACCCATGGGCAAAATGGTAAAATGAAAAGCATGCTATGAGAACACATGTTGAGACCTATGCTTTTAGCATGCATGCACAGCTCAATATGATAAAGAAAGAACCAGCACAACGTCTCAAATTGTCATCAGATATTTGGGAAGGAACAGAGTTATAAACAACTAGAACTAGCAATTGAAATTAAGAACAATTACAATAAACATGGAAAACACGATAAAATTTAACAACTGTGTGCAGGGGAAAACAATTCTTAGCAATAAAATTTACTGAACAATGAAATTATAAATTTTAAGAAGAGTTGAGGAAAGTGCACATACATGCAAGATTTATACTTCTCTTGGAGAATCAAGGATGAGAGGGCATTTTGGAAATAAAAATGCATTGTAAATCATGCACATGCATGTTTGCGAACAAATTGAACTCAAATGCACGGTTAACAGGAATTTAAGGCCTGGGTCTGGTCACCTTTGAATCGACCTAATTGACCTAGCTGGTGAAATAAATACTGCCGGTCATCTGAGGAGAAAGGTCTTGTGAGGGCACTGTTCAAAGACATGAAATTTCATTCTGAAGGGTCAAAAAAGTTTCCTTTAGTAAAACACACATAATATAGAAAAGGTAAGAACTGTGACGTGACATGCATAAATATGCATGTATATGTTTGAAGTGATAGTATGTTTGAAGCAAGGAAATAGTTGCAAATGCAAAAGCTGCATGTATTCATTTACATATGTGTATGTCTAAGAATATGACAAGCAGCTTTTGCAGCATGGATTCTAAGCGCTTTACAGGGAAAGCAGAAATTGAGGTCGGCCTATTTTTTTTATTTTCAATCCTAAATTTTAGGTTTTCTTCACAGTTCATCAATTGATTTTCTAGTATTATATACATGTAGGTTCAAATCTTGTCAAATGGTTTCCAAATATTCATTTTGCGAGACGCATATTTATTTCAAGGAAACGTCAACCAATACATACATTTAGCACATATGCCTGGTGTCCGGAAGTCAGGATTCTTGCAGAAACTTGTGTGTCATAGACATCATTTAGTCATCATTAGACATCATCCAGCATCTTTCGTACACGTTTTTCTATCACGCAATATCAATCCTGATGAGCGAGTCATCCTTAACTTCGGCTCAAGATTACTATCAGATTGAAAGAGAAATCATATTTTTTTCGCCTTCTTTCGATTACAAATATACTCAAGAGTCCAAATATCAAATAATTTTTCATAATTTTTTCTCAATATAAACACAAATCATGTGACACGACTTTAAAGGTGCAGTTTTTCTCCATACGTTTTGTGCATGTATTATAAAGTCAAAGACTGGTGCACTCATACATCTGAGTGACTTTGAAATGGGATTATGGGTAGTCCATCATCCTGTGGGGCTGTCAAAATAAAAAGGTCTTGGTCATATCAGGGGTCACCTTAAAGGCTTACATGAGATGAAAGTTGCAGTTTTCTCCATAGGGTTTGTATTACACTCTATTATTAAACTTCATGAGTGAGTAGTCCTCAACTTTGACCGAGAATTACTACCAGAACAAAAGAGAAATCCGACTAAATTTTCTCTTTTGTTCAATTAAAAATATACCTAAGAGTCCAAACATCAAATAATATTTCATAATTTTTTCTCAATAAAAGCACAAATCATGTGATATAACTTTTACCACTTCCTGCCAGGGACTCCGGAATCGGAGACGTATGGTTTATATGCGTGACCGGGGTCTCCGAACTCGGACAAAGGAAGCAGGGCCCTGTAACAAAAGACCGTACCTCGAACGAACAAAAGACCAGGCTGCTGGGCATTACCAACATTTTTCACTCTCAAAAGTGGTGATAATCCAGCCTTGTTTTGAAACCGTTTACCAGGGTTTGGGGCATTGACAGTGAGCGGATTACCACC